GAGGGGCATGGAGCTACCATCCCCACCATACGTCATCTCACATAATTCAGAGTTGATTGGCTGTAAGTACGTGTGCCGCGAAAAGTGTGCTGTGTGAAGAGGAGACGAGAGAGCTGCAGTGACGCGTCCTAAAACCCGGAAGTAAGCTGCGCGTGGCTTGCCTCGACAAAAAAGCAATGAGATTTCTCCATAGGATTTTAGAAAATAGCTCGAAATAAGATCTGTGGGAAACGTACCTGTTAGATAAATGCACGTTTTGTTCAGCCGGATAATATCCACATGTCTACCCTACTTTTATAATTTTTTAATCATAAATCTATCGATTAGATTTATGATAGACTTTTGAAACTACGAGAAGATAAGGAGGACTTTTACAAAAAAGTAATAGACATTTTTGTCCAGAAGGATAGGCAAATGGACTTCATCTTCAAGTCAAGGTAAGACCGCAATTTTATTGAAAATAGGATCTTACTAAGAGAGAACAATTCAATATTTAAATGATAAAATTACATTTTTTGGGTATCATTTTGTTGAACTGTCTGTTTAAAATTAATCGAAGCATCAGACAAAAAAAGCTTTTGAAAATAATATTATATTTTGGTTTAGGTCAAAATATAATATTTGTAAACCTGAAGAGTCAGTGCCAGTGCCTCACCAGCCATGAACCTCACTGCACGTCACTGCAGAAGCTTATATATAGACATCTAAGTTTTTTGTGCCCCACCACTTTTGTACATATAAAAACGCCACTGCTCCTTACCTGTATTCAGTGATGTCGTCTATTGTAAATATGTACATTTTTTTTGTATAACAATGTAGTGGTATTTTTATTTTTGCTTTTAGGATGCCTATCACCATATGGCAAAGGGACTATCGGGGAAAACTAGCCTTTTGGCTAATTCGAGTACATTTACATGTTTTTAATATGTTGATTAATGTACACTGTCCCATGTTTTAAATAAATCAATTCAATCAATTCAATTCAATCAGGGATGGGCCATAAACATAAATAAATAAATAATTATTGGGGATCAAAGTCAACTTTTATAATGTGGTTGTTTCATTTCCTTATATGCATTGTTGTTGAGAACGTAATTGAAATAATTTTAACAGTGGAACGGCATAGTGCAATTTCAATGTTGAAACAGTGTATTTTTTTTTCTCATGAAATTCCACGTTGTCCCAGTCTTTTCCTGAATCGTCCTTTTGTCTGCTCTTTCTGTAAAAGCACACAGCACGATGCGGAGGGTGTGTGTTTCTGCACAATCCTTAGACTGAGAATAGCGCGTGGCGCGATACGGGAACTCACCTCACAGCTGCTCACACCTGGAGAAGGGTACATCCGGACTTAAAACTTGCTAGTCCAATCGCCAATGTGCGAGTCCGAGTCCAAGTCCATCAGTGCGCGAGTCCGAGTGCTTGTGTGCGAGAATTCATGAGTCCGAGTTCAAGTCAGAGTCCATCACTGGGAGGGTCTGAGTCAAGTCACGAGTCCTGCAAATCGGCACTTAAGTCCAACCCGAGTACTCCACGTCTGGTTGAAGTATATGTGGGGTTTTGTTTAATACTGTGCGAGTTGGTTTCAAGAATTGTGGTATTTAATACTTTCTGGTTTCCCGACATCCCTCGCTTGTTGTAATTCGCTGTGAACAAAACGGTCTTTATTATCTATTTGTGGGTACAAAAAAGATGGAGTACAAGATTTGTTTGGCTGAAGAAGATTTTTTAAATATTTGTGTTGCATAGTTACAAAGAAATCTCCAACTCCCATCTTTGATCTGACCCTAAAAAACTAAAACATGGCCGGTTGCTTGAGCACAGCAGACGTGCGGGAGAAAGAACAAATGAACCAGTTTGTGAAACCCTCAAAGAGGGTCCAGATTTGAGAGTCAACAAGACCATTGCAAGGTTCTTTAGTCTCGCTTCCTCAAACCACCTGAGACAACTCTACGAAAAGCGGAAAATGCAAGCAGACGATGGGGGATGGTACGTCAGCGGCATGATGAGTGTGGTGGTCAAAGTGAGGTCAGGTCCTGAAGTGACAGGCCTTGGAATGCTGGGCATTGCCCTGTACATCGACAACTGTTCCTCCAGTCCACCAGAAGACAGCACAAAGGAAGCTCTGCGGTGTGTGTTTGCTGAGGAGCTGGAGATGTCCAATCTGATCGTCAACTGCCTCTTATATTGCATTCTTGTCGCTAAGGAAAAAGACGATCTGAGGGGCAAAATTGATCAGAGTGAAGGCCAGATGAGCGCCGCCCTCACCAGGCTGAAGAACTCCATGGTGAGCGAGGGGCACATGTCGCCTGAGGCTCTGAAGGCCTGGGTGAACGGGGCAGCATTCCACATCCAGATACTGATTCACCTGGTGAGACTGGGAGGGAATCAAACCTGCAACTCCATAGAGACACTCCTCTCAGCTTACCAGAGCGACCTGGACCCACTGTTCAAAAAGCTCACGTTTATTCAGTCGTAACAGTACGAACTGGCCTAAACATGAACCCAGCCGACTCTGAACAGCTGAAAGCAGCGATTCGCTCTCAGGGAGTCCGCCTAGCTCAACAGGAGGATCAGTTATCGGCCATCCAGCAGGGAGTATCGCACGTCACGGACAGCCAGAGGGAGTTCGAGTCATCTGTAACCAACCAGATTAACCACCTGGCGGGGCAGATCCAGAGTGATTTAGTTTGTTGTACCATTGTAGTTGAGCGTTGGTTTGAATAAACTCTTTTTTGTTAAAACCTGTGTGCATTTGAGTTCAAACCCGTTTATTCAGTCGTAACATCTATTACATGTGCATTCAGTCTTTTTTTCTTTGCACTATTTCTTGTAAGGAAAATGTTAACACTTGACTTGAATATAGACATTGTCATTTGTGGTTGGTTATATGAACAGTATCTCCACCGTGTAAATACTTAAGGTACATTTGGCTGCCTATTTTCTAATAACATATTTATTGTATTTGAATTAATAATGGATTAATGTGTTCATCTATTTAATGTCGCAGCACCTCAAGGTGAACTTTATTTTAACTTGGGTAGCTTGTGAACGTCACCAAAGATGTACATCAAGAAACTATTTGCCTAGTTTATTTTATTTGAATAATTTGAATCATCAAAGTGATTTCAGAACAGTAGTGCCGTTAAAAGTTCCAATATTTGCTCTGAGATTTACTGCAATAAAAGCTTAAAGGAAATACTTTAGTACAAGTAACTCAAATGATACTTAAGTGTAGTAATAGAGTACTTAGTTACTGTCCACCCCTGCCTCGATGTACATTAAAGTTAGTGTTTATATGAACCTATCTTTACTACTTTTATACATCTAATATCTCAGCCAATATATCTGAAGCAAACCAAACATACTGTAATCCTGATAGAGCACCAATATATGTTTAATACATGTAATAATCAATTATAACATCAAGTACACCTACAGCAGAAACTCTGCAGATCTTCGCCGCATTCTGAAAACGCATCTGTTTCGATTGTTCCTTGAGAATTAAATCCTTGAGAAAATAAATAAAAAAATAAAAGCACTTAAGAAATAAAATAAAAATGAATTTAGGCCTTGTAACTAATTCCAGTTGTTGTTCTGAGTTTGAATCTTTATGGTGTTTGCACTTATCGTAAATCGCTTTGGATAAAAGTGTCAGCCAAATGTAATGTAATTTAATGTAAAAATCTAAAATGTTTACATTTCAGAGAATCCTTTGGGACCACTTATTCAAAGATTATTTCGTCAATCTTTGTGAAATCCATTCCATATGTGTAAATTAAGGGTTAAAGTATTTAACTTATTTGTATTTGGGTTGAAATTGTGTTCCCACTTACACAGTTGATTGATTTGAAGGATAAGAAATAATCAAATTTTGTATATTTATATTTTCCTTGATAGTGAACGCTCGCTTCACGAAAAGGGGTTCTGAATGACGTTGAAGACCCCTGATTTGTAGAGTAACACGAGTGTGTGTGTGCGTTCATGTGAGTGGTTGAAGAAATGTAGACAAATAAAAACAAACTAGTTTTTTGTTTGACAAACTAGTTTTTAGTTTGACCCCAAACAAAAAAAATATTTTACTTCCTGTTTTTTCCCCACATCATGACCAACACACACTCAAAGGTATTGTAGGGTCGGATAAACGTTGCTGCTAAAATGTAATGGACCAAGCTGGATCAGGATGGAGGCTCTGCTGGTTCTGGTTCCTCCTCTGGTCTCTGACAGATTTCAGCGTCAAAATGTCAATAGTCAAATGCTGAAAGTAGGACAAAAATACATTGTCAAATTTGTCTAACTTGTTCTTATTATTACCTCAAGTCCATTAAATATTCTAAGTGTATGTATACGCTGCATTTCACTGCTCTCAATCTTGGAAAGTTATGAAACCAACAACATGATTAAATTACTATTATTACAACAGAAAAAGCCGTAAACGTTTTAATGTATGTGATAAAAAAGAAAGCCAAGTGGTCCAAACCTCCTCCTCACAGCATTGCATCTCTGAAAGCATCTTTGTTCCCAATCATGCAGTGGAACCGGTCTGATTTCAGATATACAGTGAGGATTTTGTAAAAATAATCATCCTAAGGCAGTTTAGGAGGTGCAGCAAATTGGTGGCAAGCGTGTGCTCCGGTCGGCGGTGATAAACAACCAGCCCTCTCTAATCTCTGAGTCTCATGTCCTTGGCGTGGCGAATGTGTTATCTGCTGTGCTCTTTGTGCCGTAGAAATTTCCAAAATGTCATGTGTTACATATCCCTGAACTTTAATAAGCGTCTTCCCTCATCATCCTTCTCTCCACCCCTCACTGTAACTCATCTCCTCCCCTGAATTTAGGAGCTCTTTCTGGGGAAAGTTTGTTGGAGGATATCCTTTCTTAGTATTTGCTCTCCTACCTCTAATTTTGAATCTTGTATTCGACCCCAGTGTTCTTCTTCTGAGTTTTCCTCGTTCCTCTCTTTTCCATCTTGCTGTGTAGTGAACACACCGCTCCCCTCTGCGATGTGGTGGTGGCTGCTTGGCGTTTCGAGCTGTGTGCTGCTGGTGGTGGTCGTGGTCTTCTTCCTGATCACCGGGAGACGCTACAACGTGTTCAGCGAGAAGTGCCTGAGGCCCCCAGGACCCCTGGTGACTGACAGCAGGCAGAGAGACGACAGGCTGAAGAGAGGTATGAAAGATGGTTTTTGACACGAGTGATAAGCAGACAGAACTCCTGTCTAGAAGAACTTTCTGCACTGAAAAAACAGCAACGTTGACTTTTATTAAATGTATTATGTCAACAGATTTCACTTAGGTTAGTTGAAAGCAATAATATTACGTTTAAATTAAAAACATTAGGTTCAACTTAATGTTATTGCTTTCATCTAACCTAATACAGTTCTGTGACATCTGTTGACATAATACATCAAATTAAAGTCACTGTTTCAGTTCTTTCCTTCATCACCCCACAAATGAACCTGCCTGTTGTCCTCGGGTCCAATTCCACCAGTTTCCAAATTGGTTTATGTTGGGATAAGGGTTATTTCCATCTAACTTCCACAAAAATAACATGGATGGTTTCAAACTCTTTGCAGTCTCACTTTCACTACTTTCATTCAATTAGGGTTGTTTTATTTAAACGTATAGCATCCCCGGTCTTGCCGTGTCAATTATGTAAATGATTCATATATTTATTTATATGTATTCCAGGGGTTGTCGGTAGGGCTGGTGGAAGGAAAATTGTCGGGAGAAGGGAAACACAGTGGCTTGCAGAGAAGTCAAATTAGATGAAAATCAACGCAACATTTGAAAGTAGATCTCTACTCGAGGGATGTTGATCAGTCCATCCGTTTAGTCGAGACTGAAATATCTCAACAGCTATGCCATGCATCTAATTTTCATATGTGGTATAAACTGTCATAATGAACAGAGGCAGAGGTGGAAGAAGTATTCAGATGCTTTACCTGAGTAAATACATTATTGTCAAAATACTTCATTACAATTAAAGTCCTGAACTCAAAATCTTACTTAAGTAAAAGTACAAAAGCATTATCAGCTAAATGTACTTAGAGTACAAAAAGTAATCATTGGGCAGAAAAACTGCCTTTATATGTGTATTTAATTATATTTTAAATATGGGACATTTCTAAATAACGTTGTGGCACCAAGTGGCATTTTACTGTTGAAGAAAAACAAAATTCCGTTTGACTTTCTTTGTAAACATTTTAAATAATTTGACACTTTGGTAACTTAAAGAGTTAGTCCACTAGTTGAATTTGGAGATAATTTGTTAACAGTATAAGCTGTTTAATAAATGTACTGGAGAAATATTACAAGATATCGGTTTTAAATGTAGTGAAGTAGAAGTATAAAATAGCATAACATGGAAATACTCAAGTAAAATACCTGTAAAAGTACTCTGCCAAAAGGATGCATCTGACTGACTTGTGTAATGATTGTCATTAATGCTACTAGATATTCATGGTCCCCAAAGGATTTCCTCTGGTACTATTAGCAGGTCACTTATTAAATGAAGTAACTTGGCACTCCAGTTTGTCCGTATGTTGTTGACTTCCCATGATTTACATATAGCGCAGGCAGGACATGGCTTAAGTTTAGACAGACCCTTTCATCTGCAGCACGGATGAATCACTTCAGTTCAGAAGTAGTTTTCAACCCGCCCTTTAGAGACATGGTTACTTTTATTTTTTAAGAGATGACGAAAATAATTTTGTTTCTAGGGTCTATAGAACTGCCCTAGGCTGATAAACAGTGACTGTGGATGAAAGTTGTGTTATAAATTATAACCCTAATGTTCAGGACGTCAAGAAAGGGTTCTTGAGGCCAACCTATCTGCCAGACTGATGTTAAAATGTGCTGCCATGCAGGGTTTCGTGTGGACCGAGTACCCCCCGCTCTGGATGCGGTGGTGATTGGCAGCGGTGTGGGAGGTTTGACAGCAGCAGCGGTTCTGTCTAAAGCCGGAAAGAGGGTCCTCGTTCTGGAGCAACATGATCAGGCTGGAGGCTGCACACACACCTTTCAGAATAAGGGATTTGAGTTTGATGTGGGTAAGAAGACGAAGAATACCGACACACACATCAGCACACATGACAATGTCTTTCCTGTAATTGCAATGTAGCTTTGAAAAAAAAATTCAGCTAAATAAAAAGTGATTGATGATAAGGATAAGATGGGGATTGACCAACATACAGGATATGGCAGTCCTTCTCAACCCTGTGCTCCAGTCACTACAGCATTTTTGACTGATTACTTTGCTATATTTTAGTTTATTTATACATTAGCATATTGTATCTGTCTTTGCACCTGCTGTGCTCCATGAAATCCTTTAAGCAAACTTCACTTCCGATTGCCACAATACAGTCTTGTCCTGTTTTCTATGTATGTTTTACGTTTTGAATCACTATATATATGAAGGTGATTTAACCCCGCTGCCACCACCAGGTATCCACTACCTGGGCCAGCTCCATGAGGGCAGCCTGCTGAGGGTGGCTCTGGATCAGATCACAGAGGGACAGTTGCAGTTCACAAAGCTGGAGCAGCACTTTGACACACTGATCCTGGGTCAGAATGACCAGCGCAGGTATGGCAAATAAACACATAATGATTAGGTTGCAGTTAATTTACTCTGTCTTTCAATGTTTCTTCTTTATTTTGTCATTCTCAGGGAGTACCATATCCATTCAGGGAAGACTGAGATGGCAGAAAGCCTGAAGAAGCAGTTCCCAGGAGAGGAAGAGGCCATTGATGAGTTCATGAGATTGATGAAGGTAAATAGGGTGGGAGGAAGGAAGGTAATGATTATCAGAGTATAATTAACGAACAAGGATGTGTACAAGGTACATCTTTGACAAAACAACTTTTTTATGTGACACAAGGCTCAAGCTTGAGTCAGATACGTTTATGTTTTTTTGTGCTACCCCTTGTGCACATACAAAATAATACCCGCTCTGGTACACTGAAATGTGAAATGTTGATTTTAATTAAATGTATACTGTCAACAGATTTTTCACTTTATTAGGTTAGTTGAAAGCAATAATATTAAGTTTAAATAACAAATATTAGGTTCAACTTAATATTATTGCTTTCAACTAACCTAATACAGTTATGTGAAATTTGTTGACATAATCCATTTAATTAAAGCCCAAGTTTCAGTTGTTTCAGTATACCTATGTACAATCACTGGATAAGAATTTAACTCACATTTTTTTTTACATTTCCCTTTATACTGTTAATACATGTTTATACTTTATATATTCTTATTTTTCTCCGTGTTTCTTTCTTATTCTGTTGCCTCTGATCCCTACGGGGATCAATAAAGGTGCATCTCATCTTATCTTAAAATGTTTTCAGAAAACTAGTGGACCTTGTGATCCATACGTGTATTGATGATTATAATTAACCTTGTATGTCTTCCTCCTGCAGCTTGCTTCACGGCGGACGCCACTTATCGCCACCTTGAAGATCATACCTTATTGGCTTGCTAACTTCCTGGTTCGAACCGGCCTGTTGGATCGCATATCTTCCGTGTTCAGCCTGGCAACAACCAGCCATTCAGAAATGATGTCCCGTCTCACACAGAACAAGGACCTGCAGGCACTGTCTGCGTACCTCTTCTATGGTGATGGAAACACTCATATTCATCAAAGATCACACTTTCTACTGTATATCAGGGGGGTCAAACATAAGGCCCGCGGGATGACTTTGCAAAGTGTAGAAATTACAGAGAAGACTGATTTTTCACAACTTGTATGTATTTTGTATGTATACATTTTCAAGGAGGGGGGTAGATTAACCTTCTTCCTGAATAGCTCCCACTTTAGTTTGTATGGTGGTGTGTCAGGATTCAGGGGCGCCGTAAGGGGGTGAAAAGTTAGGACGATTCTAAGGGCCCGTGACTGACAGGGGCCCAAACAATTTTAGAACATTAAGAAAAAAATGTTTAAGTAACCAATGTGATATCTTTTCATGGGGCCCAAAATCCCTGGCGGCACCCCTGTCAGGATTACTACACAGATGTGGAAATTAATGTAGAATAATTTCTAGACCATAAAGTAAAATAACTATATTGTTTAGTTCCATATACCGGTGACCAAATGGTAAATGGTTTAAATGGCCCTTATTTTCTAAATGTTTACTGGTCCGGGCCATAGAGATCAAATGTGGCTGTACGCTGCTCTATATCCTCTTCATTGGTCTATTTCATATCATTTCAGGTGTCCCTCCTAAAGACTCCAGCTTTCTGATCAATGCTCTCCTTCTTCAACACTACAAGCGTGGTGCGTACTACCCACGGGGGGGCGCCAGTGAGTTTGCCTTCCACATCATCAATGTCATTGAGAAGACGGGCGGTGCTGTTCTCGTCCGGGCTCCGGTACAACGCGTCCTGCTCAACCGGCAGAACAAGGCCTATGGTGAGAAAAGAGTTGGAGACGAGTTCTGGAATGCAGTTGCTTTTTTTAATGAGAGCCTGCAAAGGTTGATCTGTTCATAGAGTTCATGAGACATTCCTTCACACTTTTATTAGTCTTACCCCTAGATTCCACCGGGTCCGTCTGCGGCGCGTTACGGGCGCGTTACGGGCGCGTTACGGGCGCGTTACAGCTGCGCCGCGGTGCTCACGGCGATCGCGGCCACTCTAGTCAATGGGTGCTATTCCACCACACGCGGCGCGTTACGGCTCAGAAGCGTCCCAGAAGCGGCTCGGCGCAGGGCTCCTCTAAAATTAGGATCGAATCCTATTTTTGTCGCGGCGCAGCCGTAACGTAAGGTCGGGCAGGCAGGAAGTGGAACTTTCAGAGCATATATAGCATATATATATAGATATATACACACACACAAACTAATTTTGCAGACCCTATCCCTCCGTAGTCTTTCAAGTAGGAGGAGAAATGCCAGCGTTCTCCTCCGGTGTACAGGCACTGTGTAAATTATATATATATAGAATAATTATGATGATGAATGCATTTTTTTACCACTAAAATACAGCAACACATCTTTGATTCATGTCGTTTATAACTGGAATATTACAGTTATTATTAACTTTGTCTGTACAAAGTAGCCTGTCCAGGCAACGCGCCGCAGACGGACCCGGTGGAATCTAGGGGTTACCCCTAGATTCCACCGGGTCCGTCTGCGCCGCGTTACGGCTGCGCCGCGGTTTTGGTCCGGCCTCCTCCGGCGTCATACCCTACCAGGCGCGTTTTAGAAGCATTTCAGAAGCGGAGAGTCTTGCCTGCCGGCTCGCAGTTTTTGTTGATTTGGGCATATTTCCTGGACAGGCTACTTTGTACAGACAAAGTTAATAATAACTGTAATATTCCAGTTATAAACGACATGAATCAAAGATGTGTTGCTGTATTTTAGTGGTAAAAAAAATGCATTCATCATCATAATTATTCTATATATATAATTTACACAGTGCCTGTAAACCGGAGGAGAACGCTGGCATTTCTCCTCCTACTTGAAAGACTACGGAGGGATAGGGTCTGCAAAATTAGTTTGTGTGTGTGTATATATCTATATATATATGCTATATATGCTCTGAAAGTTCCACTTCCTGCCTGCCAGACCTTACGTTACGGCTGCGCCGCGACAAAAATAGGATTCGATCCTAATTTTAGAAAAGCCCTGCGCCGAGCCGCTTCTGGGACGCTTCTGGGACGCTTCTGAGCCGTAACGCGCCGCGTGTGGTGGAATAGCACCCATTGACTAGAGTGGCCGCGGATACCTTGAGCACCGCGGCGCAGCCGTAACGCGTCCGTAACGCGCCGCAGACGGACCCAGTGGAATCTAGGGGTTAGATTCCTCTCTATATACGGGGGAGGTCCATATATTCGCGCGTAGTTTCGCCCGAATATACGGACCTCCCCGTATATTCGCGCAAAACTATGTACGCTTTTCAAAACACTCTAGAAATTGTTAGGCTTGAACTAAAACAAAAATGAGGCACCAGTTTCCAAGCATTTTTAGGAGTTGGGTGAACTTCTGCATTTTTAGGAGTTGGTTAAACTTACCAATATTGTCATTATCTTGGTTTGTTACCTGTTTCCTTTATTTTCTCCTTTTTTTGTCTGCTTTTACTTCCTGTCTTTGTAATTGTTGATTGTGTGATCTCCAGCTTTGTTAATGTTATAAGTACTGTTCCTAAATATGTTTAAGTGTTGATCATTTTGTTTGGTACTTTCACTTTTTTGCACTTGCCTGCTTTTTAGTTTTTGTAACCAGCTTTGATTTGATAAAGCTCGATTTTGGTTTTTCATACCTGCCTCCCCTCTTTTGAACTGCTTTTAAGGCCTTACTTCCTTACCCTTGTGACAATGGTACTTTAAGGCTGAAACATGCACTGATGTTATTTTCCGTATGATTAAAACTTTGTGTGTTTGTGTCAGGTGTGACGGTGCTCAAAGGACAAGAAGAGATTGAGGTCTATGCCCCTGTTGTCATTTCTAATGCTGGCATTTTCAACACATTCGAGAAGTTTCTACCTCAGCCCATACAGGAGAAACCAGGTAACACAGCGTTATCACTGCAGCCACTAAATAAACTGTACCTTGCACTGCTTTCTTTTTCTACTGCATATTTTCTGTCATTTGTGAATGTGTGTGTGTGTGTCTAGAGATCCAGTCACTGTTGGGTTTGGTGCGCCATGGCATGGGTTCCTTCTTGGTCTTTGTTGGTCTGGATGGAACCAAAGAGGAGCTGGGCATCGTTTCCACCAACTTCTGGATGTATAAAGACAATGACTTGGACTCACTGTAGGTTTTTATATACAGAGAAATATCATAATGTGTTGTTCACATTTCTCGTTTTTCACAACCTATGTTATTTTAACTTTGTGTGTGTGTGTGTGTGTGTGTGTGTGTGTGTGTGTGTGTGTGTGTGTGTGTGTGTGTGTGTGTGTGTGTGTGTGTGTGTGTGTGTGTGTGTGTGTGTGTGTGTGTGTGCGTGTGTGTGTCTAACCCTAACTCTGTGTGAAGTATGGAGCAATACTCTTCCCTGAGCAGAGATCAGGTGTTGGGGAACATTCCCATGATGTTCATCACCTTCCCATCTGCTAAAGATCCTACAGCCAAATTCAGACACCCAGGTAACACACTCACATGTGCACAGATGTATACTTGCTTGGTAGATGGCAAAGCACATAATTCAGCAACTTATTCTGTCTTAAAGAGGCCCTATTCTGCTTTTTGAGGTTTTCCCTTTCCTGTAGTGTGTATAGTTTGTGTGCATGTAAATGGTCTGCAAAAGCTAAAATACCTGTGTTTCCAGAGGGAGTTTCTCACCCACACACTCTGCCGCCCCCGAATGAAACGCTTCCATTGGACTCCATTGTTCTTCTGTAACATAGTGACATCACTATGTAACACTCTTGCTTCTATCTGGTGCCTAGCGCTCCAACACATTGTACGTGATAGGCTAAGGGGAGGGATATCTCTATGCAGTTGACCAATCACATCAGAGCTGGCCAGCTAACCAATCAGAGCAGACTGGGCTCTGGTTTCAGACAGAGGGTGAAAAGAGGTGCTGCAGCACAGGCAGTATGAGAAAAATAAAGAGCTTTTTGAACATTAAAGCACACAGTAGACGAACAGAATACAAATATGAACCTGAACATGAGCAGAATATTTCCTCTTTTATCATGTGATCAGCCACAGTGAATGCCAAGATGTTGGTTATCTGCAGATCTGCTATCTGCTAACTGCCTACAGTTGGAATACTTACTGTATAATCTACCATTCAGAAATGGCATAGAGTTCACAACGATAGCTTAAAATGCTGTCCTTTTTTTTTTAACAACAATGGGTTTTTGAACTAACAAACAAATAATCCAAACAGGCAATTCATTTCCCGCCTGCAACTGTCTATCTTTTTTTAAACATGAACCTCTTTAAGGGGACATATGCTATTTCAGGTTTGGACGAGAACCTGTTTACATGCTTTAATTATCGGAAAAAAACGTTATTTTCCTTTTTTTGTAGAAAGTAAGTTTGTCTGAAATGCTCTATTTTAGAACATCTGTTTAAGCCTCACTCCTCACTCAGCTCTGACGGACCGTCTACACAGCAGCGTTAAAAAAATCTTGAAACGCTTCTGCCCATTCACTTTGAATGGGGTGACGTCACTTTCCCTCACTTTTCGCCGAACTGCATTGTGGGCAGGCGAGCGGAGATTTTCAGGATTTTCAGGATTCAAAGTTGAGCAATGTTCAACTTTTGAAGCTGAGGTGGAAGCGTCAGCCAATCAAATCCCGTGTACGCAAATCTGACAGTTCAAGTTCTAGCCAATCAAACGGCGTGTATGCTGGGAGAGACATACCGCAGGTCATTTCCTCATATTCCAAAAAATGGAGGAGAAATTAGCGGTAGGGAATCACCCGGTGCTTTATGACCAGTCCCTATTTACCTACCGGGATATAAACCGGAGGAGCCAGGCATGGAGGGAGGTGGCAGAGACAGTGGTATGTTTTCGCCTGTTTGGGGAGTTTATATCCAGTTTACTTCAAACTTTTTTGCTTCGTATGTCGCGGGCGGGAGATTCATGTGATTGGTTGTTCGCAAAAAATCCCCAAGCTTCAGATACGCCCACCTCCAAGATTTTTTTAACGCTGCTGTGTAGACGATCCGTGATAGGCTTGTGAGTAATTCTAACCCATTTAAAATACCAAAACACCACAGAGCAGTTTATCCTCCTGGATGGTTGTACTATACACCCAAATAGGCAGCAATCATTTATCCTCTTAATGTTATGCACTGTTAATGCTACTAAAACAGTGGTATCACTCTCTTTTTATCCCCCTTCTTTATCTCTGGAGGTAAGTCCTGTATGACGTTGCTAACCATGGCTCGCTATGAGTGGTTCGAGGAATGGGAGGGGACAAAGCTTGGCAAGCGGGGACAGGACTACCTGGATATGAAGAACAGCATGTCCCAAGAGATGCTAGAATGGGCACTAAAAATCTTCCCTCAGCTGCGAGACAAGGTAACATTTTACAAAGACAAGGTCCACACAATAGTTCTTCTATTGGGGTTTAGACTATATCCTGCAACCGTTCTCAGCAATTTAACTTAGGTGTCACTCAGAGGTGGGAAGTACCTACGTACATTTACTCAAGTACTGTACTAAAGTACCATTTTGAGATACTTGTACTTTACTTGAGTATTTCCATGTTATGCTACTTATACTCCACTACAAATCAGAGGTAAATCATGTTATTTTACTCCGCTACATTTATTTATACCTTTAGTTACTTTGCAGATGTGGATGAATGATGTGAAATATAATCAAGTGTTAAATCAGACTTTAGTTCCACCTGGAGTAAATTCACAAGCTACCCTGCAGTATACAAAGTCATTCAAACTAGCTGCACCTTTACCAGCTTTGAGAACACTTTCATGATCAATCATTATAAAACATATCATATATATTATTCTGAAATGGACCAATCTGCATAATGACTACTTTTGGTACTTTAAGTATATTTGGATGCTGATACTGTACTTTTGTGCTTTTACTAGAGTTACATTTTGAATGCAGGGCTTTTACTTGTAACAGAGTATTCCCACACTCTGGTACTTCTACCTTGACTCAAGTAAAATATCTGAGTACTTCTCTCAGCTCTGGTGTCACTATTATATTTGAAGGCAGTGGGCGACGCTCATATTTAAGTGTTTTATCATATACAGTATCGAACACAAATACCTTTTTCTTTACTGATTCCAAAACAAAAGCCAATATTACCTGAATTCTCCTGTATTGGCTTCTGTTGAAGTACTTTTGTCTACAAATTGCATGTGTGTTTATGCTCAGGTGGTGATGGTGGATGCTGCCACCCCTCTAACTAATGTACACTATCTGGGCGCTCCAAGAGGTGAGATGTACGGTGCTGAACACAACTTGGAGCGCTTCAGCCCAGACACGGTTGCGAGAACACGCCCGCAGACACCGATCGATGGACTTTACCTGACAGGTGACCTAGCTGCCAGAATATGGTCTAGATTCTGAAGAGACTGAAACCCCTGCTTAATGTTTCCGTGTGTTTGTTGGTGCAGGTCAGGACGTATTCTGTAACGGCATGGCTGGGGCTCTGCATGGAGGACTGCTCTGCGCCTCGGCCGTCCTCAACCAGATCCTCTACATTGACCTTCTAGCCTTGAAGACCCGCATCAAAAACAAACAGAAGAATCAGAAGAAGAACTGGTAGTGACATGTTGTCAAATAGCGTACTCTACGCTTTTACACATACTTTAGGCTACTTACAAACACCTTAGCATTACCAATGGACTCTTTTCCACCGTTTCTGTTGTGAAACTTAAGGATCGCTTGTGTAATTTTCCGTATTACGCTGCATCCTCATGTCCGTACCATTCTTTTATTAGCAAATACCAGCAACCCAACAATAATTTGTGCTACTCAGGATTATAGGAATCAAACATTCAGTAATAAAAGGTAGCAGGCAGAACGTTGCTTGGATATATTACAATACAAAAGGACCGACATATGACATCATCAACGTGCCAACTGGCTCAAGTAATTCTAGAAACCACCAAAAAATATAAATTCCCCATACCAGGAATTTTCTCTTAGTGATGCATCCTTGGAACAGAAAAACAAAGGAAGTAGTTTCAGTACATTTCATAATCTACATTCATTTAGTTAAACTGTCAGCCATGATAACATCTGTTCGGATTCTTTAGATGATAGGAAAGGAGCTTCAATGCCTCCTTTATAACCTCCTTTAGCTTAAGAAACACTAGACCAGCCTTTACGAAAGGAAAGGAGGACATGCTGTCCCACAATACCTTGCAGTCGCAACATTTAACGTGACACAACATTCAGCCGTTCACGAAAACAACCACTCATCAGAGTCAAAGTCAACTTTATTGTCAATCTTCTGTGTGGGTGGTACAGACAAGGAGAGCGAAATGCTGTTTCTTACAATCCCGAGGAATACAACATTTAAATATATACATATATATAAACATACATAAACACTTGTACACCCACTTATATACTATATATATACACATACATAATCAAACATCGACACATATATACTGTACATTTACACACATTAAGATGTATAAATAAAAGGCACAACACCATAAGAGCACACGAGGTAAAGTAGCAAATCTAGGTGCTTATGGTATAGTCCGGAAAATTGTAGTTTTCTCACAGCAGATGCACATCATTAACTGGCGCATCAAAATGACGTCCGATGCAGTCGGATTCTCTAAGCACCGCAGTTTTCTTTTTCTAAATCTGATGAATTCTCCTATCATCGTTCTTTACGCGGTGACGTTTCTCACAGCGGTTAAGGAACAGTGGTGAGAAAATGATGATAGGACCTGATTTATGACAATACGACTGCAACCAAGGTATTATCACAACATTGCGTTCCTTTTACCACATTCGCTGGTACTTACACTTTGCAGGGTAAAGTTAGATAAAATGCATGGTATTTGTATCTTTCCAGTGACTGAAGAAAAGGATGAAGAGAGAGGAGACAGAGGCGAGAGAGGAACTCAATGAAGACAGAAAACATGTAGGAAGTAAAGAAAGTGCAACTGACTGAATTTAATGAAAACAGGAAGGATGAAAAGAAAGAAACTGATTCGGCCCCGAGTCAGAGGGAACGTGGTATGGTCTATAGCGTATAGTTTAATATTCATAATGTAAAAACAAAAGGTTGGAACCAGATATCATTTAGTTGACAGATATTTTAATACAGGGACTAACACTACACATCCATACAGTAAATCCACTATAGCCCTGGTAAACAACATCATCCTTTTTGGTTTTTGGCTACAATAAAGGCATCATTATTGTGGCTCAGTCTGTAGGGACTTGGCCTTGGTGTGCCCTTGAGCAAGGCACCAAACCCCAAGCTGCTCCCCGGCGCCGGACAAACTGGCAGCCTGCTCGCTCAGACATCTCTCTGTGTTTGCATACAGTATGTATCTCTGTATATGTATTCAGACCAATGTGTACAGGTCCTGTCCTGGGCATGTGTGTGTATTGTACTGTGTGTTTCAACTGAGTGAACGCCTGGATTTCACCTTGGGCATATAATAAAGCTTCATCTTCTTCTAATTCACTATACCTCTTTTCGCTTTTAAATACTCTTGTAATAAACTTTGATAATAAACCTACAGAACTTATTACATTCTCATTAGCCTCAGCTTTATTTTGGCAGTTCCATTATTGCTATTGAATGTTAGCATGACCTTAAAGGTAAGGTATGTAATTTATTTCAGAAACACTTTTTGTTATATTCCATGGAATGCTCTGAACATCCCGATAGCAATGAATATCTTAAATGCTTTGACAATAAATCCATACAAAAATGTCATCTGTGGAAGCCGTAGTACTGTAAAAAGCACGACCAATGAGCCGGCCCGACTAAAATAACTGGATGGCCTACCTGCCTGTCAGCCTTCCATCTGTGCACAAACTTATCTCGTGCCCTCATTGGTCATGTGCGCGTTCGTGTGTGTTGGAGGAGGGGCTCTGTAAGGGAGTCTGAAGGAAGTGGAAGATTTTTTCCGTTTGTGTACTTTCAAATTCTAGCGCACTCGAGCTGGTTTCTCCAAAATTACATACCCCACCTTTAACAAAACTGATGAACATTTTAAGATGCAGATAATATTTACCAACAATCATTATATAGAATTGTCTTTAGAATAGTGTAAAAGTGTCAGATCCTTGTGTCAGACTACATGTGTTCTTATAGTGTCTAATCCTATAGTTCTTTTAAGCTCAAAATGTTTGCCAATTGTTTATTATTAGTTTAGATAGACCGCTCGTCAATCCCCAACTGTGTTACGATTAAGATTGGTCACTTTGTGTTAATATATATTAATGTCTTTACAGCTCATTTCTCCCTTGCTCCGTCAACTAATCTGCTCTTCACACATTACAGGTCTTAAAAACATTAAAAACATGCTATTGCATGACTTGGGCAGACCGGCATGAACAGACTTTTGAAAGGATTAAAAGGATGATCAGCTGACATGCTAACATTACAGTGTGATGCATCAGAGAGCGGGCTTGGAGCGGCCCTAATGCAAAGTGGACAACCTGTTGCATACGCCAGTAGAGCACTGACAGAAACAAAAAAGGGCTATGCATAAATTGAGAAGGAACTGTTGACTGTTCTCTATGGAATGGAGAGGTTTCATCAGTTCACATATGGCCGGCCTGTGGAAGTACAATCAGACCAAGCCCCTTGAGAGTATTATGACAAAACCACTGCTGTGTGCTCCAAAGAGACTACAACGCATGCTGATGAGACTACAAGCATATGAGATCAAACTACGTTATTGCCCTGGAAAACACCTACTGCTGGCAGACACGCTCAGCAGAGCCTATCTTACAGGGCAGGAGGACAGAGGCTCAGTAGAGATTGAAGTGGAGTCAATCAACATGGTACATTATCTGCCAGTGTCCAGTGAGAGACTGCAGGCAATTCAAAGAGCGACAGAGCTAGATGCAGAACTGCAGGTCTTAAAGAGTGTTATTCAGCGGGGATGGCCTGTGATAAAAGAACATGTCCCCATAGAAGTGGCAAAGTATTTTCACCATAGAGATGAACTGAGAATGCAGAATGGAGTCATTTTCCGAGGGGAGCGAGTGGTGGTGCCTGCAGCACTGAGGTCAGATATCATGCAGAGAATTCACTCCTCACATATAGGCATCGAGGGTTGTCTGAGAAGAGCACGTGAGTGTGTATACTGGCCAGGCATGAATGCACAACTAAAAACATTCATGGAACAGTGTAGTACATGCAGTGCATGGGCAGTAAAGCAGCAAGAAGAGACTCTGAGACCACATGAGACACCAAAGCGTCCCTGGGAAAAGATAGGAACCGGCCTGTTTATGTTCAATGACAGGGACTACTTGATAACTGTGGACTATCTAACAAACTTCTGGGAGGTGGATCGTCTGGAGAATACAACATCTAAAACAGTGATTCGGAATCTAAAAGCTCACTTTGCCAGATATGGAATTCCAGATGTGGTGTTCTCAGACAATGGTCCTCAATACACATCGGAGGAGTTCAGGAATTTCAGCAGGTCATGGGACTTCAGACACAAACCGTCCTCTCCAGGATACCCGCAAAGCAATGGGAAAGTGGAATCGGCTGTTAAAACAGCCAAAAGGCTGGTGGCTAAAGCTAAACAGGCAGGCAGCGAATCACAGGAACACTCCACTGCAAGGTACGGACTGCAGCCCAGCAATGATGCTCATGGGGAGATGAACCAAAACCCTTCTGCTAATGAGTGAGGCTCTGTTGAGACCTACAGCAAGCAGACGGAATGAGGGTGTCAGAGAAAGTGAAATGAGACGAAGTGAACACCACAACTCGACTGCAAAAGACTTACCTGAACTGCACAGAGGGGACAGGGTGCGAATCGAACCACTCAAAGGGCAAAGGTCCTATGAAGTAATGACAGAGGAGGGTCAGGTCTTGAGAATAAACAGGAGACATATCAGGATGACCAAGGAGCTAGATGAGGACATCACAGCAGGGGAAGGAGCTTATGCTGAGCTGAATGGTGAGCCTGAACAAACACAGGACGAGAGCAGCAGCGCAGATGCAGAAACGGGGCCGGACGGGATGCCCCGCACTCCGCGCACGAGGTCAGGCAGGCCTGTCAGAAGGCCGGCGCATCCGAAGGACTTTGACTGACAGTTATACTTACTCAATACTAGTGAATAGGTATAAGAACAAGATAATATGGATACAGGAAAAGACATTAAGATACTAAATGTTGTTCAAATGTGTGACTGCTAGTCATTTGTGTAATATTGTTGTTTGTGTTGTTCTTGTTAAGTATTGGCAGTTTGTTACTTATATATATTTTTTAAAAGGGAACATGTTGCAATATACGTTTGCCAGGGGGACATTATTTGTTGATGCACAGCTGGCCCGGGGGGACCACAGGAGCCGAGGGACCAGGCATGAGCGTCAGTTCTGAAGTTAGCACAACTAGGATGTTGCATTGTATCTTGTGGAACATTACAAGTAAAGTACGTGAGAGTAAGATAGAGTGTGTCGTTATTATCAGTATAGTACACAATACATATTGAAACACTTATGGCTACAAATCATTTGTATCGCAAATAAAGCAGTACTCTTGTACAGCGATTACCGTAAAGGCGCTATTAATCGCACACTGAAAAATTAAGAGCTGCTGATTT